AGAAAGTTCTCTGATATTTTCTTAGTTATAAAAAATTCAATAACATCAGGAATCTTGTTAGTGCCAGTAGGCCAATAAGTAGGAGTGCCAGTGGAGCGATAGCAACAACCTAGCTCTTGAATAGCTTTTCTTAGCTCCCTTTCCCTAGTTGAGGTGATTCTAGAACCCCAATCTGTATGTTTGGCATTATAGTCACCTTTTATTAGATATCTGTGCCCATGCTTGTACAGGAGATCTTTAAAAGTATTTTTCTTAATGCTGCAATTTGGTGGACAGTATACAGCACCAAAAGTCCTGTCTAGTCGATTTAATTTTTATTGAAATAAGCTGAATTTCAGCCGTTTCTATCTTGAATTCTTCATTATGTTCTACACTTTCTTTCATTATTGCACTACCTCCTCTTGGCTGATTGCTGGGATTTACCGCTTTATAGCAATCATAGCCTTTTATTTTAAGGCTCGTATAATATGTCAAATGAGCCTCCGACAGCAAACAATTATTTATATTTCTCGTTTTGAGAAAGACCTCCAATTCTTGTTTCTTATTAAGAACACAATTAGCGTTCCAAGTTATTATATGTACCTCATTTACGTACATCTTTTCTTAATTTCTTTGGTATCCCCGTATACACCTCAGTGTATACATTTTCTATTTTTAATAATCTTTTAGAGATCTCGTCAATTCTAATCAACATACTATGCATCATTTGCAAAATGTCTGCGTCAGCTCTTTTTATTTGTGGGGTTTTGTTCTCAGATTCCTTCATTTTCCCGTTTTGTGGGGTTTTGCTTTGAAGCGCTTGTGAATACGATACTCCCTTTAACACCTTGCTAGGTGCCGTTATTCTGTCTATTTTTGGAGTTCCTTGTTCATTAAATTTAGCTTGGTTTTGTTTGGTTTTATTCTTTTTCAATCTTCTTTTTTGCAATTCTTTTGCAACCAAACAACCTCGATAGCTAGCAGGGTGCACTCCATTGCAGTTCGCACATTTGTCCTGAAAATTATCCTTCTTGTTGCTCTCTGCTGTAATATGATTACCAGCACATTTTACACATCTAGCCTCTCTTTGGCAAAACTTTTGTGTGTGCCGAAATCTCTGGCATCTCTTGCATTGCGGAATGAATCTACTGCTTCTAAGAATTTCAATTTTATATTATAGATCTTGGTTATCTCTTCGGAATGGTCAAAAGATAACATAAAGAGCGGAAGTTTTACTGAAATATATTTTCTATTTTCTTTCTTCCATTTGATTTTATTTACAACATCCAGACATTTAAAGCCATTGGTAATAAGCTCTTTTTTTATATCCTCTTGCTCACACAATGGATGGAGATTTCCTGCCATAACTTTAACTAGCCTCGTCGGTTTATTCTCATACGTGTTTCACTCCAGTTTAGTCTTATTTATAGCTTTTGTTAGTAATCTGCATTCACTTTCATTTTCCACATTTATTTTTAATTCGTTATTATTCATCATATTGACCCTAACTTTTATTCTTTCTTCTTTTAATATTTTAACTACTCGTATGTAGGAGTAGTTCTTAATGTTGCTCAATATAAGCGGAGGAGGCTTGTATAAGCGTGGAGCGCTTTTTTGGATTTTCAAGCTTCATTTTAGAGCTGGTTTCATTATTTTTTTTAACTGTCCTCTCTGAATTTATTTCAGGAGACTTTTCCATTTTTCGCTTCATTGCATTATTCTGTTTTAGGATCCAGTCAGTTTCTCCAGCCAGTTCTTCCTCGTCGGTTTCATATACAATAACTTCCGCATCTTTGTTTTTCTTTTCTGTTGATGCAGATTTTATTTGATTTTTTAAATCTACATTCTCTGCCTGTAATTTGCAGATCTCGTTTTGTAGCACTTTACAAACACTCTCTAACTCGGTTATTCTTGAGTCCTGGGTATCCAATTTACTCTTCTGATTTCACTCTCTTGGGTTTCCATTTTTTTTGTCTTCTTCAGATTTATTGGACTTTTTCGCAGAGTTATCATCCTTAACTCTGCCATTTTGGGCGGCAGTCACCAATGGGAGTAACCGCATAACCTCCGATCTCTTTCGAAATGGGACCATCAACGCCGACCTACTGTGCAATAAGTGGTCTCCCACAGAATTCATGAGATCAGTCGCAGACCAGAGAGCCGCTCATAGTGATTCCGCCGCGTCTGGATTTCTATTGGATTTTAGTGGACTCTTACTAAATCCAATATGTACTTGCTTCCAATTTTGAGGATATAAAGAGTACAGCTAAGTAATTTATATGTTTACACTAGGTATCAATTTTCATTTTTTTTTCTTTAAAAATCATAATTTTGGATTTACATATAGACATAAATGACTATAGCTTCTATAAATATAAACTGATTTAAGAAAAAATAATATGCAATGGAAAGTTTAAAAGGAGTTCCACTTATAGACATTATCTAGCTTTTCACTTAAGTTATCCAGATTGCTATTTATCCAATTTTCCATTTATTCAGTTTTCCACCGATCCAGTTATTTTTTTAAATTTTTTCCGCTTAAAGAGATTTTTCTGAAATCCAATAGAATTTATATTTCAATTGTTAACTTAAAATTTAACAAAATTAAACAAATAACAGCTCAAGTCACTAATAAAAAACGAAAGTTCTATAAATTACAAGTACGAATAGTTCAAAGATTGTTTTGTTTTTTTGTACCTGACATTTTTATGTTACGCCTGAATTCAACCGGGTATTTAAATTATCACCATTACTAAAAAAAGCGAAATTAACTTTTGCTCTGCGTTTCTACATATCATTTCCGCATCGAGTGTAGCTCTGGTGTTATTTTTGCTGTCTATACTTTTCATGTTTTTTTTTTACTGAAAAATACTGATGGACATTTTTCAAGAGCAATTTTTCAACAAATAGAAATAAACCAAAATAAAAACCAAAATTTCTGAGATACAGATTCACGAAATTTCTATTTATCCAAACAAAAGTTTTACCCATTTTCGATCCTCTAACCAATGATATATATTGTTGTATACCTTTCTGAATAACACTGTATATATACTCTATATATAGGAACTCCTCTTACAGAGGGAGATTTTGTTAAAAAAATCAAGGAAATAAAACAATAATTTCATTTAAATAGGTTTTCCCAGATTCTACTAAACTTTCATTTTAAAATTACAAGTACAGTATGATTATGTTAAAAGAAAATAAATTAATGCAACATTGTAAGAAATAAGAAAATAAGAAAACAATGCAACATAAACAATTTAAGGTGTTTTGGTCATTCATTCACTTTATGTTTTGATGAGAACAGTTATAATTACGGATTCTATTTGTTTTGAAATAATATGATAATTAAAAATTTAGAAATAAAAAATTTATGAAAAAATAATTGAATATTTAAATATTCTACTGGGATATGAATTGCGAACTATAATTTTCAAAACTATCATTATTTTTCACAGAAATAATAGCTTTGAAAGTTATTTTTCACAATATTGTAAAATATTCAAAACATTAGGGACTCTGTGGTTTGTTTAAAAACAGCATTATATACTTTAGTTTTACTCATGCGAATTTTTGAGTTGCTGTTAATTCAAGAATTATTTCATTTAATAATTTGAGGCTATTTAATAGACACATTTTTTATCGTTACCCATCTCATGCTAATTAAAAATTAAGAAAAATTGTCTTATAAATAATATTATCTGTTAACATTTTTCCATGGTCAGTTTTTTCGTGGTTTTACTTTTTTCTATAGACTTGAGTACTATTGTGTTTGAACATGCTATATATAGTTGCCCAGACAAAAAGCACAGCACTGAGAGATAGAGGTTGACTACATGAAAAGTTTGTTTTGGAGCTTTATATAATCATAAAAAGCTCCAAATTAAACTGCTGGATCGTTTAATGTATCGGCCAAAATAAGGGCAAAATAAACACATCTAGAAAATGGCTCCCATATCATTTCTAGTTGAATAACATTTTAGTGGAAATCTTTAACAATTATTCTAGTCCCGTTCCATAACCTCTTATTTACTGCCAGATTTCTTAATAATATTACTATAGAACAGAATAAAGCAACAAATTAATTTTAATTTGAGTATTTTCTGAAGCAGAGTAATATATTTCACTGAAAACTTTGAAATATTGTGGCCCGCTTTCCAAAATATATTTAATTTTAGAGCTCATTGGTGCGAATCCATTTTTATATTATACACAATTATTAATATTTTATATTATACATAATTATTAACACGTTTTCTGAAAGTCGGTGAAAGATCACCTAATTCATTCGGGACCATCTCAGCTACTTGGTTTTGGAAGCAAGGACTGTATCTGTAACCTTTTGCAGATTTTTTATAGTGAACGCGAGCTCTGAACTATTATTACATATTTGAAATTTTAAAAATAGATTATAGACGGCAGGTTGTAAAGAAGGGGTAGCAGTGCACTGCGATCAGCTTAAAAGATCTATTGTGCCCCCAACTAAGTGTGGTGCAAGGCCCTACAACACCTCTCGTTGAATTCGAATAAATTTTAAGGCCCGGCAGACACCAGTTCCGCGTGAATGAGCACGTACTTTAAATAGTGAAAAACCCTAAAAATAGTGAAAATCCGTTTTTTCCAAATTTTGATATCGTTTTTCTTCTTGAATTCAGATTATAGGAGTCTGAAATTTTAGCACCCTTTAGACTCTAATAAATAGTTCATCTCGTTAGAAGAAAATTTTTTTCCACCTCCACCCCCTCTCAAGTTATCGCCTGTTGAAATTTGTAAAATTCGAAACTGCTAACGATAAATGCCCTCCAATTAAAAAATATAATTATTTTTCTGAATTCAAGAAACTAATGAAATTCGAAAATAATGTCAACCCCTCTTTAAATTTTTTTTGTTTTATTTCAAAAACTACCATTGGGTTGGCCCAACTTAATTCTTTATATTACGAAAATAATATTCATAAATTTTTTTTAATGGAATATCAAAAAATAAGTATTGCTTACATTATAAAAATCTTTAAAAAGGTACTTACAAAAGACAGTGTTACAGTTTCAGTAGATGCAGTGGTTTATTACAGAGTCTCTAATGCAACAATTTCAATAGCAAATGTTGAAAATGCCCATCATTCAACACGTTTACTTGCACAAACTACGCTCAGAAATACGATGGGAACCCGCCATTTGCATGAAATATTAAGCGAAAGAATGACTATATCTGGAGCTATGCAAGTATGCCTAAAATATATTTACAAAATAAGTATATAATATTGGTTAATTTAGATTCAGTTAGATGAAGCAACAGAAGCTTGGGGAATCAAAGTCGAGCGAGTGGAAATGTATATGAATAATATTTATTAATTTGCATTTTTTATAAAAAAAAAACAAATTTTAGAAAAGATGTGAGACTACCAGTTCAACTACAAAGAGCAATGGCAGCTGAAGCTGAAGCTGCTAGAGAGGCTCGGTAAGAACTAGTGCATATAAACTTAAAATAACATGTGTATACATAAATTTTTATTGTTTTTAAGCGCAAAAGTGATCGCGGCGGAAGGAGAACAAAAAGCCTCCAGAGCTTTGAGAGAAGCTTCTGAAGTAATAGGAGATTCACCAGCGGCTCTTCAGTTACGATACCTGCAGGTAAAAATTCATTAAATTTCAAATGAACGTATGCAAGTACTTATTTATTTTCAAAATTTTTAATATGCAGACACTTAATACCATATCAGCTGAAAAGAACTCTACGATTGTATTCCCATTGCCAATTGATTTGATTATGTATTTTATGAAGCTTCATCCTAATTCAGAGAAGTAAAGGTTAAAAATTAGCGCGTCTTTCAGAATGTTGGAAAAATATTTGACTTCTTCACATGCAAGCGTTTTAAGCAGAATTCAAATAAATGAATTATAATTTTCTTTGATTTAAATTTTTACAGATTTCATTATGCAATATAAATATGTGTGGGACTGAAAATATTGTTTGAATTTTATGTTGAAAAAATATTTTTAAACAAGTGCAACTGGCATATGTGGTTTTCAAAATTTATTTCCTTTAAAATTATCCCACAAAATTGGGATTGAAATATAAACAATAATGGACATGAAAAATTAAACTTTTGACCTAGTTCTTTAGCAAGAGCTTTAAAAGAAGTTTTGTCATATCTAACTCACTTTTTAGCACTTTTCCAAAAAATTTTTGAAAAAAAGTGCTTATTAGTTTCACTCTGTCCGTCCGTCCGTCCGTCCGTCCGTGGACACTTTTTTTGTTTACAAAACTTTTACACCCTTGAAGATAGAAAGCTGAAATTTAATACGTACATAGATCTTTACTAAAAACTTATTTCCGTAGAACAAAATTTTTACCTATCTCCCCCCCTCTAGAAGTTATACCCCCCAAAAACCAAAAAATGGCCTTTTTTAACTATCTGTTTCAATGAAACCATAAGCATTTTTGAAATTTTGCAAACGCAGAAAGGCAGTGGCTTCCTTCCCCTAACGCGGTATATTATAGTTAAACTTTAAAAAAACAAAATGGCCGTTTAAATTTACCGTTATCCAAAGTTCTTTTTTTTTAAATTTTTGATTTTGTTTTTCTTCTAGACCCCAGCGTGTAGAAGCTTGAAATTTTAGGAGCTTTTAGATATTAACAAATAGTTCATTTTGCTAGAAGAAAATTTTTTTCCATCTCTACCCCCTCTCAAGTTATCGCCTCTTGAAATTTGTAAAATTTGAATTTTTGACACCTTATATTTCCGAAACCGCAAGCTTTTTCAAATTTCTATAAACGCAAAGAGCTAACGGTAAATTCCATGACATTAAAAAATATAATCATTTTTCTTAACTCATACAATTAACCCTTAAAATCGAGCATTATGTTAACCCCACTTTATACTAATTTTTGCTTTATTTCAAAGACTGAATAGATCGTTCATCCTAAATATATGCAATCCTAGAAATAGTATCGTTTATGAATGAAAATATTTTTAATAGTGTGTTAGATATACATAGACTGTATTTAAAAGCCGAATTTTCACTTGTTGAAGGGAAAAGAGCTACAATACAAACCATTGGTTTGACCCAACTTTATTATTATTTATTATTAGGTTTTCGATAATGGAGTTCTAACTCAGATAAAGCAGGTTCAAAAAATCAAAACTGAAAAATCCGCAAAAGTAGAACATGCTCGGTAGAACATGTAGAAAAAATCTCTGCAACAAAAAAAAAAGACGTTCGGAAATCGTAGAGTTCTGGAAAATTTTTAAAGATTTCCTGAATACCGCGAAAATATTTTAAGTTTAAAAAAAGTCATATTATAGAAAAATTACAGATATTGAGTTGTTTTTCAGCAGCTTTTTTTATTTTATGTATACATATGTATGTTACTTAAACTTTATAAAAAAAAATTTTCAAAAACTTGCTCTGGTCCAAAAGTGCTTTTTATTAAATCTTTGCTTTACAAATTCATCCAAACCTTTTTTTTATTTAAAGCACATTTTTATATTGGTAAAACCAATACTCTACTGATTTTAGAATATCACAAATGTTCGAAAGTAAACAATTTAATTCTTCCTTTAAAAGTTCTACCTTAACTCTTAAAGATTTAAAGTGCTTGTCTAAATTGTTGAAAATTTCCAAAATTCAATTTCATTTTTTTCTACAAATGTTGTACATTTAATTATTAATGGTTTATAGCGCAACATTAATTCACATTAAACTACATCGACAAAACTAAATCACAAACTTTTCAAATTTCCATATTTATTAAAAAAATAATTAAGTATTAAATCAAGAAAATCAGGAAGTAAAATGAAAATAAAAATAAAAAATTTAAAAACCTATTGATAAAATATTAAGAGTGTGGTTTTAAAACTGCAACTGTTTCTTTGAATCTCTGTACTGAAAACGTAACTGATACAAAATTTTTGTATCAGTTATGTGATATTAATGTTGAATAGTGGATGATGTAATCAAAGAAACTAGTTAAAGCCAGAAAAATTAAAAAAATTTTTCTCCTCGAACTGGACTCGAACCGGTGACCTACAGACAACTAAGCTATAGAGGAAAGAAAAAATTCCCTAAGAATTGTTCTTCACATTGCTTTATACTGTAATCCACATGATTTCCAAGTAACAATTTTTATCTCATAAGACTCTTGTAGAGCTATATTAAGAATTCTTTAAGAATATTACTCTTATAATTTCAGTCTTGTAGAACACTAAAACACCCTAGTTATAAGAACAAAAGTCCGCAATTACTAGAGATATAAATTCTTGTATGCTATAAATTCTTATAATGAGAGTTAAGCTTCCATTAAAAGAGCTCGTTTCTTTGATTACGTTATCCATCTGTTCTGCAGTTGTATGAAGAAATTTCCATTAAGTTAATATTATTAGTGTAACAAGCACATTACTTATTAATTTAGCAACTACATGTTGTATTAGAAAATTCATAATATAATGGTAAATTTTAACGGCCCTTTTGTTTTTTTAAATTTCAAATATGGTATGCCGCGATAGCAGAAGCGAGCCACTATTTTTCTGCGTTAAGAGTATTTCACTGCCATTTTTAGCACTTTAAGGATCCCTAACTTTTAGAGGGGCGCAGCTAGGTAAAAATTTTTTTATACGTAAATTGGTTTCTAGTAAAGATCTACGTGCAAATGAAATTTTATCTTTAAAATGTAGAAGTTTCGTAAACGAACACACAGGCGGACGGATAAATTAAATTAATAAGCACTGTGTTTAAAAATTTTTTTGGAAGAGTACTAAACAAAAACTCTCTATTTTTTACAATAGGTAGGTTATGTGATGGCAACAAATTTTGCATATCGAGTTTTTAGTGGGAATGCACTTCTCCATGAAGTGTAAATGAACTATTTTTAGCAACCTGTCGGTCTGTCGGTCTGTGTGTTCACGCTTGTATCGCAAGTTGGATTGAACCGATTTTGATTAAATTTTACATGTAAGTTTATTTCGTCCATGGCAAGGATTGATCAACTTTTGGTATATATCAGGCCTCGGGAACTACACTTTTTAGGGTCCTGTTTTACATTTTTGACCATTTCGAAGAAAACAGTCAACCGATTCAAATTTCATATATAAGCTTAGCTCGACCGTCCGCGCAAACTCCTAACTTTTGGAAGAAATTAGGTGTCAGCAACTGGACGTTTACTACGTTCCAAATATACATTTTTGTTTATATAAAGAGAAATAATCAAACGATTTCATTAAAATTTAATATTCAAATTCTTCGTATTAAAACAGTGAACATATGAATTTATATGCAAACAATATCTACGGAACGAATTGATGGAATTTCTTGAAATTTGATATTTGAGTTCTGGTTGTTACCGAAACTAACTGGCGAGCATTTCAGGGAACTCGGGTAGTACAAAGCGAGACTCTACTAAGAGTCAAATTTACATTTTTCTAGATATATTAACTATAAGCTTACTAATGTCTTAAAAATTGGAAAGAAATATTTAACAGACATTTTTATAATATTCTGTATGTGTTACACTTAACTAGGCAATACAAACTGCGGTCGGTTATGTGCTGACCACAACAGATTTTTTATTTTATTTCTCTTTTTCATATTTATTAAAACAAATTTTCTACTTAAATATTAGTTGGTCTTTTATTGTTTCCAATATATATTGCAACACTATATTTAAACTATAGTTTTTAACTTAGGTTAAAAATTTTACCAGCTGTTCCATAACTGTTCCATAGACTGCAATTAATTTTTACTTTATACATATATTATGTTTTCTACAATTAAGTAGCTGCGTAATGATATAATAATAGTTAATGATATAATTAAACTATATTTTTAGGTATTATGTTAGTGCCTTGCTTAGTAATGGTTTTCTTATTTGCAATAGAATAATACAAGCATAGAATGATATAAGGGTGTGCAGGAATTCAAATACAATAATTAGAAATCGATGTCTCATATATAAATTAGACATTCCTTATTGGATCACCAGGGTTTTTTATTCAGCGTAGACCTTCATGTTCTTCTATATAAAATAAAACAAATCAGGTTTAGTGCAAATGACATTTTAATTTTTAAACCAAATTAAAATAATGTCGCTTTGAAATATCGCTTAAATTTCAGGGCTTTGACTCAGTTATATGCGGATGATACTATAGTGAAATATATTGGTAGACATAAGGATGAGGTTGTGGATGAGTGGCTTTCTAAAAATCGTCTTTCACTGGACACAGATGAAACAAAATTTATAGTATTGGTAAAAAAGTATGGTATTTTTTTCTATTATCTACAACGAATTTGTAAATAAAAATTTAAATTTTACATGAATTGCGATTTTTGACCATCACTGCACTTTTAGAAAATTAGATTGCATGTGTACATACCTACATATATCAAAATAAAAATCATGCCATATGCAGATATGCATATGAAGATAAAAAAAATTCAAAAAAATCAAGAGAAGTAATTTTTAAGCTTTAACGTTGTAACGATAATACATATGTCTTTCTTATAATAATAACTTCATTTTGTTAGCGTTCAACAAGTAAAGTTGATGGTTTATTAGTGTTTATTTTTTGTCTGAACATAATTAAAATTAATCAATACAATTGTAATTTTATTAAAATAAAGAAACTAAAATTTGTAGTTCGTTTTCTTAAGAAAATTATTAACCGCCGGAGTTAGTCTTGAATTATGAACAACAGACCTCCAGTTCTTGATCGTTCCAAAAAATTTATATGTTGATTGTCAAAAACGTAAAATTGGGCCGCAAAAAAGTCCAGTTCCCAACGCCTGATATACCTAAAAGTGGATCAATCCGTGACGTAGCCGAAATAAACTCACTTATAAAATTTCATGAAAATCGGTTTAGCCGAACTTGA